ATATATATATATATAAAAGCATGTAGGTATTATGTATATTGAGAACAGACCCACAGTGATATTGAAATTAAAGCATTAACCTGCAAGTATGCACTAAAATGTTGACATTTTCAAATCAAAACATCAACAATTTTCATAACATCAACAATATTGTAATCATCTCCTAGAAATGTTCCCAAAGCATGCAAGTAAAGCAAGACAAATTGCACTTAAGTAGTATGAAGTGCAGTATCTGCACGTAATACATTATTCTTTAATTCTGAGGTGTTTTTTTTATATTTCTCTCATTACACATCATCTATAGTACACCACAATTCATTATATAAGTAAAGTCAAAACACTTACTTTTCATGAATAATGCACTGTGGTAAAACCCTTATGATGATAAAATGCTTTGGGAACATTTATGACTTAAAATTTAATTCATTGATAATGTAAGTTGACTAAATACAGTTAAATACCTTTGACAACTCATAAAATTCTAGTCGGGGAAACAATTTCATTAATTTTTCATTGGAGGTTTGTAAAATTAAAATTATCCTCCTAATAATATATTTGGTAATGCTTCATATCCAAAAATTTATTAATCAGTGTCTTAAGTGACAAAAATGATTCCAATTAAATATTGATTCTCCCTGAGTAATTAAATCAATGAGGAAATTAACAATAAAATTAATAACAGAACAAATAAATAAATAAAATCTTTATTTTCTGCCTCCTTTGTACTACTGTACCATTTTGTGACACATCTGCAATACTTACAAAACAATTAAACTACTAAATATTACATCTAAATATTTTTGGGAGCTATTTTTGAAATTCAAGGAAAATCAACAGCACCACTTAATGTCCAATAGATATGTTAGGCACAATTGCGTTACCAGTAAACAAGGAAAACATTATGTTTCTAATGATATACTAAAAATTCTGCTTACCACAAGTACACTGAAAGGAAGCACAAACAAGTATGTCGGTCTAGACTATATTATGGCGTTACAAACTTTTACAAAAGCTCAATCTGATTTCTTTCAATAAAAAAAGAAATAATTATTACTCATTACAAATACAAACGCACAACAGATTTACAAATGATTGTCGCTAAAATCAGCTAGGAAGGCAGGTTTTGTCAAATACTACAGAATATAATTACATAATTACAGTTATCTTACGTCAAAGTTTTTGAATTTATATTTAAAAATGGTCACATGGCCAAATAAAGTCGTTGTTTACTGTATCATGGGGAAATCCGTCAGGAGAAGACAATAAAAGAAGCAGCTAATGGCAATAATATGTGGGCATCTTTGAGTGTAACAGAAACCAAGAACAAGTCTGCGTGAGTTAGATTAGAGGAACTATTTGAGGTTGTTAAACAATAGTAGCTGATCACCATTTATTATCGAAGGGAAGAAGGGAAAAAGTGACTTTGCATGGACACTATAGGATTTGATCTCAATGCCTTGGACCTGTAATATTTCAGTGATATATTAATTACTAGTTTTTATGTTAAAAATTCCATAAAAGAATCAAAAATATGATATAGTGAATTACAATAACTCTTAAAACAGCATAATTTAACAATTTTTTATCTGTTTGTATCTTTTACAAGTCATTAGTTTCTGGCATTAGAGGGCAGTATAACAATATTTGATCATCTTTACTATTTGTCACTTAGTTGTCATTTCAAAAACTAAAGCATAGATAAACTGAGTTGCTTAGACTTGCAAGATTTGATTGTTCCACAAAGAAACATAGAATTTGAAAGTATTGAACCACAGTTGAAATAGAGTTGATGTCATTGTAATTTCTCTTAATTACGATCTTCAATAATGAGAATTTACCCTAATGATGCAGTCTTTAAATCAATCTTGTTTACTTCATAACAAATAATGAAGATTTACTCAATGAAAATACATATTGTGTAAAAGGTTAAATTTGACAATGATGTATACACAACATATTAGTTTTATAGCTGAGATGGTAACGCATGGACAGCTAAATATTTTCTGGTTTTAATCACCAGATATTTTCATGATACGCTGGCAAGAAACTTTTAATGTGTATATGCCAGAACATATTTGTGCTAAATAGAAAATAACAGACAAGACAGCATTTGGAAAAAAAGACAGGAAATACAATATGTCACTGCCTAACCATATAAAACTGGTAATCAGTTCAATTCAAATGTGTATTTTGATTTGATATTACAAATATTGTTTAAATTTCAGTGGATGCTACAGTCATGTGAATGGACATGTCTAGAACTTTATGGGAAGTCGCAGTGTCAATTAGAGAAGAACTCTGCTTGATACAAACAGCACATAAGGAAACAGCAGAAATTTGGGATGTGGAAAATAGTGTGCAATTGGCAATATTGTTAGAGAAGCAACAATTATATTACCATATGTTATTAAATCAGATCCGAAAGTTTAAGACTCTAAAGCGAACAAAGTATCGTTAAGTAAGCTAATACTTTTCATCATAATTTATTTACATTTAAAAATATTGTTGTAAATACGTATTTGGCTTCACTCTATGAAAGAGTCTTCAATTTAAATTTATTCAGATATTTTGGGCTTCTTTAACTAGATTTCTCAAGGCTTATGTTGTGACTTGAGACAATTTGCATTGTCAATGAGACCGCAGACAAAGATAGGTTAGCTGACCTGAAAGCAGTGAATAGAATACTTACACATGAATTTAGAAAACTTACCTATACAACATTGGAGGACAAATTTTGGTGTTTCAATACACAAGAAAAGTTGATTGTCGAAAATTGAATCATGTCACTAAAATCGATTGTGTTTTTGATAAAATTATTAAGAACCCTGAGAAAAACTATGAATGTATGTGTGCTTGGAAAAACAACTCATTGCGAGTTTAAAATTTGTAGCTGGCGAAATGGGAGGTCCGAATAATACCTGTCCATATTATTAATATCTATGATTTAATTTTCATCGCTTAAACTACAGTACTTGGCTTCAGGTTGTAAGTACAGTATACCGCTTCCCCTTCCCAGAATCCTTTTCAACACAAAAAATGCGGTGAATTGTAAAAACTTTAAAAAAAACTAGAAATATTGTCCTTAAAAAAAAAAAGGTATACCACCTAATGTGAAACCTTAAAAAGCCCCCTAATTATAAAATTAAGTTATTTAAGTATTCAGTTTTCACTGATTTTACTATAAAGATTCTTCAATTGATTATCAACCCATGGTCTATTCAAAAAACATAAAAAAAACCCAATCTTATTGATACCCGTTGTAGTACCACTGGTATAAGTTCAATACATCTTTATACCAAATTAAGTACATTCATAACTTTGGCTCTGATGTCTGTCTCCCATATAAAAGAGATGGTTCTAACGTTAAATTTTGTGTATGTAATAAACGTCACTCCATCACTATAATTCTTGGTCTAGCATTGCAAGAAACATCTCCACACATCTCTATCGGACATTGAAATTGCAACCTTATATGCTGACAAACAATATGGAAAATCTTTCCACCCTCCCTTCCCTCTTGACCAATTCCAAAAGAAAAAAAAAATTAAGATCCTTACACTACCTTTGTCAGTAAAATGTTTAAATATATATCAATTTTGGAAAACTTTTTCTGAGTTAAAACTCTGTTTTTTCTTTTCATATTCAAAGGAGAGACCCTGGAAATATTCTAATCATCACAGCCATATCAATTCCTGAAAATACCAAGATTTGTACCGATATTGTACATTTTTACTCACCTTAATGAACTCCTATTTTTTGTTTGTTTCTATAAACTGTACAGAAGAGTAAGTCTCTCTCACACACTACCCATACATATTGAAACTCTCAACTTTCAAAATTGAGCATCCCACTCAAGTAGAAAATCAACTCCATATATGGTTTCAACCCATATATGGTTAAGCACACATCCAAATATGGTATTCAAAACCATATGTGGAGAACTAAGTACTATGTATACAGACTAAACAATATATGGTTGCTTGATCTATTCGTCTCCATCTTCCTCATCTTCTTCCAGATCGTCCTCGTCTTCATCGTCAAACTCCTCATCCTCCGTACCAATGGTAGAATGATTTGCCCCCTCGTTTCCCATCATCTGGACATTGGCCTGTGGCACTTGCATCGGAGGATTTGCTGCTCCTGCACTAGCCTCCATCGCTTTCTACAGAAGTACAAAGATTGTTCTGTTAGTACATTTGCAAATTTTATGAGGCAAGTAATGATCTATAAGTACACTCTGTACAAATACATTTTATGAAAAAAAATATCACAATGATGTGCGTCCAAAGAATCGTTTTAATCTACTCATACTACGGCGTCAAATTATTAGGAATTCAGAGAGCTGCATTCTCGGTCAAAGCAGCGTGCACCTGGATTAAGTCTTACTATGAGGATAGGGAGTGGAGATTTTAGCTGCGAAGAAAAATACATAATTTTTAATATTTTTTTTTATTAAACTTTACTTACCGAGGGTAACCCAAAACAGCGGTTAGCTGACAATCATCGGGCCCTCGCGTAAAAAAACAGCAAAATACAAACATCCTGTTTTACAGGATTTTAAACAGAAGCATATAGCTGGACAAATTAAGCAAACAAGTAATTAACAAGTAATTAAACTGTTCTTGTACTCATAGTACCTTTTGCCTATATACTTCCATTGCCTCCTGGTATTTCTTGTACTGTACCGCCACCCTTTCCATGTAGGGTCGTTTCTGTTCATCAGTCAGCTGGTTCCACTGTTCACCACAAAGTTCTGTCACCCTCTTACCCTTCACCGTCTTTCCCTTCATTTCCTTACGGAAATCCTCGAGGAAGTAGAAGTAAGCTGTTGGTGGCTTCTTTGGCTTGTCTGGATCACGTTCTTTCTTGTACACCGACATCTGGGAAAGATACAAAAACAACTGCAGATTAGCAACGTAATCCTTACAAAAAGAATAACAAAATCACTATGAAAAGACAAATATATTTTAATCAGTGTAAAATATAATTAAATGGTGGGGAGGGGGCTGATGGGGATGCAAAGGTGCAGTGGGGAATGATTAGGTGGGGTGCTAGCTTGCAAAACAAAGTGAATTGAGGTGATTTTTATATACTTGACTATGAATTTTGTTGGGGGAAAAGTATGTTATGGGGATGTGCGACATCCCCCACCCCCAGATACGCTACTGTTCAAACCATAGAGTCTAAATAATCCCAAACTACAAAATGCCTAATATAATAGTTTCCAGTAATTTCCCAATCTCAATGCGCTCAGCCCAGTAAAATTCCAATGTGTTTTTTTTGTTTTTGTAATTGATAGTAGCAGAGCAGGATGGTGATGTAAGCTAATGTTCAGATTGATTCATCATTACACTGCCCTTGTTTCCTTTAATAATGTCAAACATCACTTAATTCCAATTCTTTTTACTAAAATATCATAGAGAAATGAAGAAAACCCCGCTAGACAGATGATAATAATAAATCATGATTATTCCGAGGTCTTCTACCTAGTCATGTCTTCTTAAAAGTAATTGGATTCAAAGCGAATTTTTAACGTATTATCCATTTTGTACGTTGTATTTTTGCCTATGTGGTATTCTGTCAGGTTTTACCATATCAATTTCCTTCAATGGAAAAATCAATCTGTTTTGGGCAATTTTGATTTGCAAGATTAAAGAGCAGTATTTCTCCGTGATGAGTAGTGAATCTGACATATAGCATGCATTATCAGTGTAATAGACAATCAGTTTAACTTTTTGAACTGACAGGCACTATTGGAAATGCCAAACAAGACTGACTGGATTTTAAGCTCCGATATAAAATTATATAATCCATCAAGGCAATCTACTACTATAAGGAATGGAAGATTAATTCACTCATAAATAATGGAGGACATGTAAACTTAAGCCCATTACTTGCACAAAAATCAACATTTATTCACACTACATAGGTACAATGAAGAAAGATAAAACAAGCTTGTTTAGTGAACTCGCCGTCTGAAAATATTGATGATTTTGAAAAGAAATAAAATTTTAGTTTTGGCCAATTAGCACACCCACCAACACAAAAGAAGTGGAAATTTCAGAAAAAAATAAAAGTTTTTCTTTATTTTTATTACAACCTCCGATGCCTTGAAATCTTCAAAGATAAGATAAGATATGTATATTTCTTCCTAATTATATAAATTGAAGCATTTAACCATCCTATTTTACATTCAATAAAATTTTATTTTTATTTTCTCCTCCATCTCAATGCTTTTGCAAAACTATTTACTAAATAAGAAAACAAAATTTAATTTTTATATTTATTCCGCCCTCCTCCGATGATCTTTTAAAAAAATACAAAAAATAAAGAAAGTCTCGACTAAACAGAATGTGATGGGTAGTGCTAACGGTACGATGTGTTTCAGACTCATTATTTTGAAGGTTTTATTTGCCATCATCCATTCTATTTCTACTGTTGTACAGTAATTATTATTACTGTATTATAATATAATATTAATAATGTAATATTAATTATACAATACTAAGCATACTGAGCTGATGTCACAGAGCAATCAAACAACTGTTTGCAATGGATTCTGACACTATACAAATTGTTACGATTGATTTGAGCCTACAGTAAAGAATAGAAGTCATTTTTAATCACACACCTGCAGACTTATGAATATAACCAAACTGTCTCCCAAAAAATGTGGATAAGTGGGATAAAGAAGGAAAATTCCAAGGATGTAACTTGCTCTTAAGATCACTAAACCTATTGATACAGTAAATATAGTGGAGCTATACAGTAGCTCTATATGGATGTTGAGACCCCTGTCGAATGGCCGATCAGTTAAAACAGGGGCACTGCAACCTGCAGCCACAATTTCGGCGCTGGTTCGAAGGGCACGCTCACCTAGGCTCAAATCATAATACAAACAACCCCACTTCACTAGAGATATTTTGTTACAAAGCTTGCATTGCAACTTTATTTAAATTGGCAAGTATACTTGCTGTTGGATGTAAAAGAAATAAAATATAATAAAATTACTTGTTTTTGTGAAATAAATGGGGAAAAAATTTTAAAACACATCGTAACCAATGGAATTGGATGTCGCTTTAAATAACATGTACTTTTATAAAGGATAAAAATGTAGGGAAAAAAACATGTAAAAGTAATTGGATGAAATTATTGAGAGCAGGTGGAATGGTAAAATAAAGTGAAGCATCAGGTGGAATCTGTTAAGGAAAGCATCAGCTATTGTATTATAACTGACAATTATTAGGTGGAATACATATAGAAGGGTCAGTAACCAACTTCATACGATGACTCATCAGTGTATAGCATCCAATCAAATCAACGGTTCTATAAGTATTTGGGGTTCTTGCACCCTGAAATGACACTTGCATAAATCTAGATGTCCCGTGGCTTTCAAGGACTGTTATTCAAAATTTCGTGGCTAATGGCTGATGTTTGAAAATGTGAAATAATCTTCCAATTAATTCCAAATTTCATTACAAACTCTGAAACTGTTAAGTACTTTCATTACTGGAAGCTTAATTGAAGTTTTTCATGACTTCTCCGAGGCCAGGAAAAGATAATACCTAAATTCCATGACAAATCCCAAGTATGCTCAAAGGTATATAATGTAAGTGTGGCAAAAAATTAAGGTAAACTACAAACTGACAAAATTCATTGTCTCAGCCTAGAGGGAAGTAATTGTTTAAATTTACCAGATTAAAAAAAAAAAAGAAAAAAAGAAGATTACTAGCAATTACATAAATTCTGCCAAATAGAAGTATTGATGATAATAAATATTTAACAAAATAGAAGTAGGGTTGTAGTAAAAAAAATGTGAATCAGTGGAAACTTATTTGTTTTCAGGGGCGGATCCACATACGTACGAATGGGGGAGGGGAGCCGAAGGTGGGGCTGAGTGAGACTACACTACTTAGGAGGTACTCGCCCACAAAATTTTTGCTTTCTAGACACCCAAAAATAACCTTCCAGGCGTGTTAGGCAATCAATTATTTTTTTTTGACTTTCCAAAAATGGATGTTACCCACCCTCCCCCTCCCAAATCCACCCCTGGTTTTAATCTGTCTCTTTGGAAGTTCATAGCTTATTTGACCTGTAGAAATTGCTAATCAATTTATAATTGAATTTTTTGGTATTTTATCTTATAGATCAAGCGCTCAAGTCCAAACACCAGGTTGTAAAATAAGTGTAAAAGTGAAAAGCAAATTTGGAATTAAAATGGACGTCATAATCCTAAATATTATGTTTACTCCTAAAGGTATGCTAGTTTATTGAGGGCTTCAGAATATTGGTTTAAACCCACAAATTCAAATTGGTAAGTTAATCCTAAATGTAATGACATGTACAGTACGACCATCATCAGTCTTCTGGGTTTAATCAAATTATGGAATAATCTACCTCATTCTGTCATTTCATGTATATTATAAATGTGCACAATTACGCTTTCGAAACTTGAGCTACATACTGTACTTCTGCTCTTTTGTGACATCGTCATATGTTATCCTATATGCTCTAGCTGATGGTTTATGTATACAAATAAATTCTTTTTCTGGAGATTTTTATGATTTCTTAACAAAAGGTTATTCATAGTAGAGTCAACATCAAAACTGAATATATGAGCTCAAAGGTAAATTTTCTTTCCATGGTGTTTGGGCCAGACGAATCAATGCTGTGGGAGGGTCCACCATTTTCCGTCAATAATGATAACGATGTTAATGATGATTACGAATATGATGACGCTGACAATGACAATGATAATATCAATAAATACTTTATTTAGTATAGTGGGATTGAATCAAAGATTTTGGATTTGGAAGATAAGTACTGTACAATAATTACATTTGTATTAGCTGGTAAGCCCACTGAAAAATATGCCCACTGGAATACTTTCAATTAAACAATCACTCAGAACAACCATGAAAACATTTATCATGTTAAAGTTTAGCAACCCTTGACAATAAATTTAATCACAAAATGATTACATAGATAAATTCTCTATTAATTTATGCTTTGGTTAATACTTCACAGTATATTTCCCTATCTTACCTCTGCCTCGTATCTTTCCCTGTCCTTCCGGGCTAACTTCTGGAAAGGTTCCCTCTCATCCACTGACATAGCTTGCCAGGCTGCGCCACATGCCTTTGTGATTTCACTTGCCTACAGGAAAAAATGATATATTATCCAGTAACGGCAATAAACCTCATAAACAATTCTGTTGTAAAAATTGGTTTCTCACTTTATGTAAAATGATCTTGATCTGCTATGATATAGTAGACTCTGACTTACTGTATTTTAACTTGCCAAAGGTATTTTTTAAAAAAATCAAGAAGAAAGCACATAACAAACATAATGGACCTGTTTTTAAATTCTTTTGCATAAAATTACACAACACCATAATTATGCAGTATGATCCTAGCCAAATATGATACAGCAAGGAGAAAACTATGCAATGTAAAAAAGAACAGGCCTTTATATTATATACTGTACCTGCTGAGATAGAATTTGGGAAATGTTAGGCTTATTGGCAAGTGCTCCCTGAGAACAGCAGGCCATATTGGAATGTCAAATCTTAATTTGAAATCAATTTGCTTTATACATATTTGGCACAATTAAGGACTAGCAGAAAAAATGTGCAAAATTGTAATTATATAGCTTGCCAACCAATGAACTGCGAATATGTCACCATCTTGTATTTCTCATCATGTTTATTATCCCAACGACGTATGTCACAATCACACTGTACAACCTAAAACTACGGGTAAATTTCTTTAAACTTAATTGCAGAGAAATAAATTTTGCTACTCTAAATTATAATAAACTTATTATTCAAGATGAATTATATTTTATGATCAAGTGCTATTATCATTACTATTTATTAATATCTAAAATTTTATCATTTTCCCTTTCCACTTGTATGCGCAAAGTTTAACTATCCTTAAAATCTACTGCAAATTTAAATCCAGTATGAACAGCAGCATGATTTGACCAAAGTAGAGTTACTCCTTGTCTCATGTCAAAATTAATGTGTGAACACTACAGTTACATAAAAAAGCGTGAAACAGATAGATGCAGTCACTTAAACTATTGATATACTGTAACTTCAGCTCGGACCAATTCATTTCAAGCCATTCACATTCGTACAGGTTCCATACTCATGAGGAAGAGAGACAAACTATGATCTGTCCACACTACATAATTCATGTGATGTGCTCATACAGTTGATGACCATGATGATGTCATATTACACCCAAATATGGGCATATCACACTTTTTTATAGTCAGATAAAATGTGACAGTATGGACAGAGCTTTATGAAACTGTCATACACAAGGGCAACATCAATGTGAACAGGGTCAGAAACAAACACAAGAAACCAATCAGATGGAAACCAAAATGAATTACTGCTGCATCAGATGTTTCTAATCATTAGTTCTTTACAACACTGTAAATGTACTATAAAAGATGCTAACCCTAGCTTTCTGTCTAAACACTTAATATTAAATAAGGGTTTTCATCATTATTTTTATTAGTCTTAAGTTCGGTCATTCCAGAAAAGCAATTATCAAGCACAGAATACCAGAAACATGACAGCAAACGAAGGAACGGGATTAATGCATTGTCTTAATGACATATCGTAGAAAAAGAAGTACACTGAATTTAGAAAAAACAAATTATAGATCATAATACAAACAATTATTTATGGTATCGGTAAGAGCAACAAGAACAATAATGATTAGAATTTAGGGGGATGTTTAACGGATTGGACATCAACAGTACAGTACTGTACATCTCTATTTACTAATACTCTATATATTACTCAGATAAAAACCAAATAACAAACCTATACAAAAGAGATTAAAATGCTCAAGGCTATACCATACATAGCAAACTTTAATGTGTACAAATAGGAAAAGTAATATATTGGCATTTCTCGCAATGTAAGCTTCTGATAACCGAGAAATACATCATTATGTTTTACGACCTTTGACATTCACAATGGTATGCATCTAATCCTTAATTTCCTTTTGTGCAGTAATATAGGTTTTCAGAACAAACATCCTGTGCGCACAAAGCGTTAAGCTTAACATTGTCATTGTCTATGTGTAGGCCTATAAATAGCTGTGAAGATGCCATCCAGTGGGAATGGAGAGCCTGTACACTTTACACTTTCTAGGGGCAGCTGCCTTCCTAATGAACAAACCATTACGTTTAACCTGCCACTGACTAATGACAGTTCACTGTCAATTTCCTAATATCGCAGATTACCAATCTTTTATTTAAGGAAAAATAGAATAAATGATACCTGTATGTGCGCATCAAATCAAAGGACAGAGATAAAGACCAGATGTTTTATTTTTATTGGCCTCTATTATTGAAGCAATATGTTTATCAGTCATAGTACAGTACTATTATAAATCAATTTTAGGTCATTAATAAAATCGATGCATGTATATTTTTTACATAACAACATAATGCAACCATGATAAAGGAATCAATTTTGTAATCTTAAAAAACAGTATAAATGAAAAATAGAGACAGATGTTTTATCTTTATTTGGCCCCATTATTGAAGCAATGTGTTTATCAGTCAATGTACAGTACAGGTATTATAAAAAAATCAATTTACTGTAGGTCATTCATAAAAATAAACATGTAATTTTTTACAAATGGAACCATGATGAAGGAACCAATTCTGTTATCTTAAAAAACACAAAATAAATGTTAACCTTACTTTATCAAAAGACAAAGAACATAGAGACCAGATGGTTTATTTTTATTGGCGTCCATTATTGAAGCAATGTGTTTATCAGTCATAGTACAAATCAATTTTAGGTCATCATTTTTTTTCCCTTACATATAATGGAACCATGAAGGAAACACAGAAGGAATTTTTGCTTGGTGACAGTCCCTCAGGGAATTCTCTTTCCCAACTTCCCCTCAATATATGTGAGGTCTGTCTACGAAACGAAACGAGATACGCATCATTGGTGAGATCATATTGAGATAACCTCCAAAATATGTCAGAATCAATATTTTCATGAAACTTTGGTCTCGATTGCTTTTTATTACTTGATTTTTATTTTATGATGGCAGTATCGTACCGTACGTACAAAATAATTTTCAGTCAACACATCTCTAGATGTACGATACAGTTCGCCCTCTAATTCGAGACCACCTTTGGGACCTGAAAATTTGGGGTGGTCTCTGGGTCCGGTCTCCAAAAAGTAGAGGGTTAGCTTAGTGCTATAGATGACAGATTGTAATATGGTTCTTTGGAAAAGTGGTCTTGAATTAGAGGGGTCTTGGATTAACAGGGGTCTCGAATTGGACGGTGCACTGCTTATCCTGGAATGCTAATGACCAAATTATTACCTATGTGATTATTCAAATTTATAATACTGTAAACTCAAACTGATTGCACTAGATACACGGTTTTTTTATTTCATCACTGCTTGTAGGTAAATATACCTGTTCACCTCCTTTATCGATTTTCTCTATTTTTATTTCGTTTAAAATCTGTTGGTATATTTATTTCATTTTCATCCAATAGTGAGTGAATTTCATGCTAGTTACAGTAAATCTCGGTTTAATTTTATTAGTCATGAAAAGGAATCCTGATTTTGATTTCAACCCACGACCCTCTGGATTGGAAGGCAATAATTTAAACCACCAAACCCCACTTCTACTGTAATTTATCATCAAGGCATTTCCACCTGATTCCTGTGTTTCTTCCTGATGTGGTCTTGTTCATTATTCAATCAATAATAATTATACACAAAAATGCAGACATATAGGGGATCACTGTTTTACTGTACACTTGATGTAACCTTGAACGAATGCAAGCACAGTACCTAATTTTATCACTGTCAGTAAATGTCCATTCCTTTATCAAAGGTAAAAATATTATGTTAGAATTTTTTCATTCATCTTCAAGTGGCTGTTGCAACACAATGAATTGAAAACCTTTCTAAAGTGTATGAAGTATAAGGATAGTCTCTACTTAATTGTTTGTTATGGCGAAACTTTTTTTTATTAATTGTTTCCCGTAATTATTTTTTTAAAGATTATCGGAGGAGGGTGGAATAAAAATAATAAAATGTTATTTTGTTAATTAGCAAATATTTTGCCAAAATCATCCAGACCAAGAAAATAAAAATAAAATTTTATTGGTAAACGTAAAAGAGGATGATAGTTAAATGCTTAAAATTTATATAAATTAGGAAGAAATATACATATCTTATCTTTGAAGATTTCAAGGCAGTGGAAGGCATAATAAACTTTTTATTTTTTTCTGAAATTTCCATTTTTTCATGGTGGCAGGTGTGCTAATTGGCCGAAAATAAGATTATATTTTTATTCAAAATCATCGATACTTGCAGTCGGTGGGTTCGCTAAACAAGGTATAAAAAACAGTCTCGCCTATTATAGTATTACTCTTTGTGTTCCTTATGTTTCTTTACATTCTGATCTTCATTTTTTATGAGGTTCAATATTTTTTGCTTATACACAGTTACCACTTTTCCTGAACTCTACCTTGTCATTTTTTTTATACCATACATGCGTGAATAAGCTCCACTCTCGAATAATCGCCGCACCAACCTGATTTTTTTTCCCGCTAAGCACCACAGCGCTTAATCGAGAGTACAGTAGAGCCATTCATTTACGTACGGCACGGGCCCAGAGCCGTTCGTAAATTCGGGTATTCGTAAAATCGGGGTTGAACCAAATTCATATATATTTGCACTGGTACTACTTACACTGGCATAGGCTAGGCCTACAGGGTTACGCAGCTAAGTCTGAGGGGGCCTAGGCCTACAGTAGGCAGCTTCTAAGCATTCTGATCCCACTCTAGGCCCTGCACAAATTTGTTTTTATCGGGACATTTTTACCTTCTTAAATACCTAGATTGTGGATTTTACTCCAACACAACTTCCATAGATACTTGTTTATTATATATATTGATCATTCAATAAAACAATCAAGCACTATGTTGAATTTTGAAGCTGAAAACGATGTTTGAAAGAGAAGTAAAATTTGTCGCATGCACGTGTGTGAAGCCATAAAAAACAACGACTTTGAAGAGGCCCATAGAGGGCCTCCTTCACTTGAGAATTACATAGTACTGTATAGTATAGTGTGTTGTGTTGTATGCATGGTAATAAAAGGTACAATTCGAGCAAGTTTTTCTTTTTTTTTAAATCTTTCTTTTAATTTTTATGACGTCATCACCTTTATATCACGTTCGTAAAATCGGGAATTCGTAAAATCGGGGTTCGTAAATGAGGGTTTCTACTGTATATATTACCTTGAGTGTAATAAATAACACAATGAATACACAAGCATTTCTTTATAAACGGTGACGTACACTGTAGGACCTGTGATAGGCCTACAGTACTGGAATACGTGGGATAAGTAACATGGGAACGAGCATGGAAAGCCGCCACGCCAATTTTTTATATATGTGCCGCACTGAAGCTTTCAAAAATTTTTTGAACCGCCGCAGCACATATTCAAGCATTTAAGGTATGCTCCACTAGATTACCCCATTTTTATGGGGTTGTTTTCGATAAAAAGCAGTGGCACCAAGAAGGGGGACAGACAAGGCAAGTTCCCCAGGGCATAGTTCCCAATACCAAACTCTCCTAATGGGGTAAGAAAAAAAAATTGAGGAAAAACTGTTAAGTTTAAATAAGACATTCATACACCCAAAAGCGAAGTCAGCTTGTGGGGGTTTAAAACCTCAACAGCTCTGTTGTTTTTGCCAAGAATCTGGCACACCTAGAAATTTGGCTGAGCACACAATCATTGGACAAACACCTTCCAAGATTTAGTTTCCCAACCTCAGGTTGGGGTTTCAATCCCTCTCTATGCATTTCGCTTGTGTCCTTTGAGCAAGTCACTTTATCTGCATTGGTTTTCTCTACCCAGGAGAAGATAAATACAGTAGATGATACGGAAAGATCAACTAAGTCAAGGTCAGATTGGTAATGTTTCAAGCAAATCGGAAGCATTTGAAAACAAGTAACCTATTACAGCTTATAATAAGTTTACATTAATTCAATTCAATGACAGTTACGAACGTTCATGTTAAAATCATTTGCACAAAAATGCCATTCATAAATCATAATCAGGTTTGGTTTGTAAAATACACTCTCAATCAAAACATGAAATTACTACTGTAACACTATTAGACTATTAGCAGTTCTTCGGCCTAAAATTGAAAATGTCCAAACAGTTATAAATTAACATTCATAGGTCTACGGTAAAACAGAAAAACTAATTAATAAAACCTGCATACAGTATAATGCTCCTATTATTATACCAATAATTTGCACAGAATAGCGCCACCATTGGTTTAGATTGTGTATTATTTTTTAGTTGTAGTTCTTGGCAATGACTACAGTATAACACCATAAAATGTACATGGCCTTCATAAGACAGATCATATTTTCAGTCCCCAGGCAGGAGAACATGTTTATTTTGTAATAATTTTACATTAAACTCTCAGATTTCATTTCAAGATTATGAAAAGGGAAAGAAGGTAATAATAATATACATAAAAGAGTAGGATGTGAAGTTAATTAAGTGGAAAAAAGAAAATAAGATGTAGAAGAGAAAAAGAAGAGTAAGAGGTTAAAAGGAAAAAAAGCCTACTAGGCATGAGTATGTTGACAAATTACTATCTACTGTAATAATTAAATATGTTTGTCCCCGATTTTTTTTTCTTAATAATATTAATACTATACCTTTGAAATGTGGTCTGCATCTTTGTTATAATTTTTCCTAAAATAATCAAGAAAATAAAAATAGCCTGTTTTTGCTCGTTTGATGTGGGCACCAGGACGGTTGCGTCGTCTTCTTTTCTTCTTATCTTCGTTTGGCTTTCGCCCACGCTTTGGTTTCGTTGTTAAGTCTAAACATAAGTAGGCAGGGTCTGATGAAAAGAAAAACAGCAGATAAGAATATATAGAACATTGGCACATTTTTCTACATTGTCAGCGGCTTGGTGCAGCAGGTACGGTTGGTTTCCCGACCTTCAGGTCGGGGTTTCAATTTCTCTGCTGTCCATTTTCCTTGTATCCTTGAGCAAGGCACTTCATCTGTGTGGCGTCCCTCCACCCCGAAGTATAATGGGTACCTGGTGGGGTTGCTTGCTACTGTACTCCACCAATATGGCAGTAACACAAGCATGCGAACCCAATGACCAAAGACAATAAAGCGCTATAACCTAAAGGAAAGACACTATATAAATACCAAATAAATAAATACATAAACCATATTTAACCAAACATCACTAGCATAACAAAATAATGGCTGTCAACTGTCAATCAGGTTTAACCACAAAGTACCCATATTCACATGTAACTGTCAGTATATTGTTGGAATTTGCAGCAATAAAATGATTTCAAACCTATTAATTGGCCTAATGCAATTTTTCTCAGTTAATTCTAGGTCAGATTAGAATATTTAAATAATCTACAGAATGTTGTACAGCAAAAAAAATCTATAAAATCTACTTCAAAAATCTCTTGCGCGGTAAATTTAGCTGTACATTATAGATTGTATATATCACTAAACTCACACTGTTAATTATTTCCTTTATTCTCATTAAACCAGGTTAAAATATCGTTTGATTGTATCCTGAATTAACAAGAAACCTGTATCTAATACGTTGACGGTGATTTACTCTCGGTGATGGTTGTAGTGACCTTTCTAGAGTACAAACTGACTAATCAGCCTTTTCACAACAACAGATTTCAATGAACATAATTTCTGCATGTCATTCAAACGTATTGCGAACACGAGTGGGTGATGCCTGATATGTTTTATATGAGTTAACTGCTTTTTATTGTTTGAATAACATACATACATAATTCTAATAGACAAAGCTCATCTATCAACAATATACAGAGATACAATAAAATATGGGTTTCTGATAATGATACTAAAAACAAAATCACAAAGTACGGTTTTATAGCACACAAGACATACATTCAAAATGTTCATTTTATATTTCTTTTCACAAATTCTACATCAATTTTTGTTTAAAAAATCAGTAAGTTAGTCTAGCCAAACTCATCGAAAAACAGACATATTTATGAAATATAATTCAACAAATAAATCAGAATAAATTATTATTTAAAATAATATTAATAAATTACAGTATAAACAAATCTAAATCTTTCTTACATACTTCAAATTGCTCAATAATGATTTCTTTACAGCATTAGGAGCATAAATGAAAAAGACCGAGCCCTGGTAGTAGTTGGAGTGCAGGGAGCCAGGATTCTTGTCAGAGAGAGCTTGGAGAGGACCAGAAACTGCAAACAATTGCGAATTTACAGGCCTAGCTAAGCTAAATACCTGTTTACATTTAACACACAGTAGGCCCAACCTTTCTATTGTGTTCACTATTGTTAATTGCCTCATGATATGCATACAGTAGTTGGATAGCTTATCTTCCTGATAAAACTTACATTAACTGCTAGTAAAAAAGCAAGTGTAATAAATTGCTAAACAATTACTTAATTATCAATATTCAGATCTAAACAGACATTAAAGGCAGAGTATCAAGATATCAATATATTCGCATTTTCTGTGTCTGTTCCATTATTTTCATCTCAATACATGTACGTCGGTCTCTATAATCCCCTGTTTCTGTATAATGTAGAAGAGTGTTCGCCAAGAATCTGTTCATGCACAATGTTGACTGTCCGTTGCACTTGGAGAGAATAGTACTAAAAAAATATACTAATAGTAATACTTATAATACTAATAATATACTTTTAAAAAATCAATGGGCATCATCATAAAATCGTTATGTTGACCGTCAGTAAAAACAACAGCCATCTTAGATCAGTTTAGCTCAGTTGGCAGGCAAATCATTGAATGGTACTACTGTACAGTGTACTACTAGGCAGATCACCGGTTCTTGGGGCAGATGCAAGATTTTGCTCTAGTAGTGAGAGGGGAGGCAAAAAAACGGCCCTAGGGTGCTGCCTAAAGCACCCAAGGATTCTCCTGAACAACAAAGAAGCAACTTCCATCTGCAATTTCCCTGTTTCATTCAGATTCTGAAAAATGGGGTTTATCAGATGACTAGGATGTCCTTTACAGATGGATATGCACAGCCAGCTAGACACGTCCAGAAAATGGTTTAGTTTTACTCCTCAACTTTTGGTAGTTTTCGTAGTCTGAGCACATGGGTGGGAATATACTTAGTGTACAATATACTGTATTCTATTCTCATCTCTGTTTCAACAAAATATGTTTAAGTTTTAAAATAATGACAAAATTGTGTTAATATTTATTCACTTCAAAATGATTTGAAGCAATTCAGATATGGAATTGAACTTTTTTTTTTAGATCATACCACCCCCTCATTCACCAATTCAAAAGAATTACATAATTAACATTCTAAAATAAATACATTGGTACAGTAGCACTTTATTCCTAACTTTAAATTATTTATCACACAAGCAACGACGAAAATGTGCAATAAATAATTTAAGATTGCCAATGACTGCTACAGTATGAGACTTTATTTTATACGTTAACCTGACTCACGCAGGCAGCTCATCTTTTAATTAATAAACATCCAATAAGCCACAGTTAAGGAAAAAAAAACTATTCTCAATGATATTTTGTTTATTCATTTAAAAAATAACTGTGTCAATGAAATATCCTCACCAAGTTATCTATATTTTTTCATAAAACATCAAGACATCATAATTATTTATTATTGGGCAAGTTTTCTGGAGAATTTTTTTGTAGTTTTTCGAAAGCATTACATAATTATAGATTTTTTTTTAGCAAAGTTTACTAACCTTAAAATTGTAATTTTTATAAATTGGAAATCTGGGGCGCTTTGCTATAAGCGGTCTTTAGACGGTCTTAATGGTTAGCCGGCTATAATCGTGACGTCACTACTGGTCTATGATTATAGACCATTGCTATACCGCAGTCTAACCAGTTAACTGTCTTAAATTTTAAAGCCTACTCGGAGGAGGCTTAAAACGGTCTTAAATCATTTTCATCATGGCGTTCTGCTGATTAATCTAACACTGCAATGGCAAGACCTAGGCCTAGATCATCAAAGTCGGAGAATCGAACGACGAATACTCCGCACACTTCTCGGAGTCTTTAAAAATAGGTCTACGGCGTTTATTTACGTTCATTTCGATACATTTGCATGCGTCGAGCACGCATGACGTCGCCCTCAATCTTACGTTACCAGTGAGTGCTTGATTGCGTTTCAATACTCAAAGCGGTTGAAGTTAAGACCGTTTTATAGCAATCCGCCCCTGTATGCCTCTCAAATCCCTAAATTTTTAGACTTTTCACCATTGGACCTCCACCAGTACTTTCTATAAATTGAAAATCTCCATGTCTCTCTAATCCCTAAATTTTTAGACTTTTCATCATTGAACTTCCAACAGTACTGTACTTTCTATAAACTGAAAATCTCTATGCCTCTCAAATCCCTAAGTTTTTAGACTTTCATCTACTAAGCAAGCCCTGGCAAAATGTCAATTTTGTTCATCAAACAGACACACTCTACTTCTCTAAACACTCCTGGATATGGCCTTGTTATAAAAATTATATGGATTAAAAAGTCAGTATAATAATTTATTACTATTTGTTGGCCATCTTTAAACAAAGGAGATGGTGATCACATTTTTGGGATCACTTATATTTTAGAGGGAAGACAGTTATTTTTAAACAAAGGGAAAACAATTTCACTCTTCATTAGGCAAGACTTTTTTTATACCTTTTTTAGGGAACCTGCCAAATGCAAATATTGATGATTTCGAATAAAATCAAAATTTTATTTTTGGCCAATTAGCGCACCCACCGCCACGAAAAATGGAAATTACAGAAAAAAATAAATAAAAGTTTTTTCTAAAATTTGCCTTGAAATCTCCATAGATAAGATATGTATATTTTTTCCTAATTATATAAACTTGAAGCATTTAACGATCCCATTTTACATTCCCCAATAAAATTTTATTTTTATTTTCTCCTCCATCTGGATGTTTTTGGCAAAACCATTTGCTAAATAAGAAAACAAAATTTTATTTTAATTCTTATTCTGCCCTCCTCCGATGATCTTAAAAAAATAAGTATGTGAAACCCTGTGAAACAAGGAATAAAAAGTCTTGCCTTGGTGGTATTAGACCAAAATTGGTGTTTAATCTTTAAAAATGTCACTACACACCATAATAAACCATTTTGTATTTGTGAACACTATATAAATATAAAATATTACAACATAGCAGCATTATTGGATGATGAAATAAAATAATAATCTCATCTGAAATTTTGAAAACTTTTATTTAAAAAAAATACTGAACAGTGAAAGAACTCATTTTCGCTGGCCTAAACCACTCTATATAAATAATTATTAAATATTCCCATAATTAAAAAAAAAAAACTACATAAAAATACAGTTATTTATGGTGATAACAATGCTGAATGAGCTGTCTGTCTCGAAAGAAAAACGGACAAAAAACCTTATGTCAAAATGACAACACAACACATCATTACAACAAGTGACTTCATAATTCCTTAAAATCCTTCTTTTATATTCACTAAAATGACTAATGTCACTAAGGGAAGATACACTTTATATTTTATCAAAGAGGCAAAAAATAATGAACGTTAACATGTCACTTTTAACATCTGAAATTAGTAATAATACCGATCTTCCGTTAAAAAAAGCCTCGCAACACAGCGGCGGAGCGGATTCAATAACCTACATAGACACATTATCACACACACAACACACGCATTGGGGAACAAAGAAAATAAAGGCCAAGCGATATATAAGGCTAAACCAAGCTGAACGCCCAGAACAAATAAACTAAAAGGATTGACAACTTTTGGATACTTTTCAAACCCTAGGACAAAATAAACCACATGGAAAGCTTCTATATATATTGAAGTACATATAACACATGTACTTTAGTAAATAAAACACAGGATAGAATAAAATTAGCCTCATTTGTGAAAGTATATTCTCAAGAATCACGGTCAAAGAAAATAAAAGGACGCGTTCTCTTATTAAAAACATGAATACGAAATGACCCACGTGAACTTTACCTAAGAAGCTAAAACTCACCCATAGCGACTTGAAAATAGATAGATGAGGCACAAGAAAGATGAGCCGTTTGCTTCGGACAGCTTTGGAAGATATTTGACCTGTTTCCAAGCCTAGTTACAATGAAAAACTTGGCAAAATTTCTCCAGGTAAGCTGAGGTCGAAAGATCAAGCCTGCCAAACAAAAATACAACACAAGCCACTTCCGGCGATGATGAAATGGCGCCCTCAATATTGAGTCCCAGTTGAGACTTGTCAATTGTAATCAAAATGGGCCTATGACAGAACATTATTACAGTTAATTTCAATTCGGGAAACCCCCAATTAAAAAAAATGATAACACTAATGTCATTGTTCAGATGATGTATATATAGTACGATCGTGTACCCTTATTTCAATTTGTATCCTTATTGCATATATTTTGATCATAGCAAACAAAACAGAATGTTCAAAGAAAACAACAAAAGCTAACGTGTTATGATATACTGTAGATATTATTTATTTTGAAATTAGACCTACCATGTTTTAACCAATATTTATATCAAATAAATATATTAATTGATAATAATACAAATGAAATCTTAATAATTTTGATAATGTTATGATAATGATTATGAGAATAAGGATTTGCAACGTGTCAGAGCAATGGTAGATCACTATGTATTGTATTTTTCTCTACACTACCTTGAACGGTATTTTAACAAGGTTTGATGCGTCATATTTGAAGAATGAACCTTTTTCTTATGTTATTAATTATTTTGAATTGTTTTAGGTATATGCCTTTATATTAATACATTACCGACAATCTTAATGTTATAATACCATAAATGTATAACAGGGGCAGATCCAGAGATGTCCGAAAGGGGGGGCCGAAAGTGGGGCATATCCAGATAACACCCCCTTAAGGTGTCCGGGGGCATGCCCACGCGGAATTGTTGTTTTCCAGACGCCCAAAAATAACCTCTGAGGCGTTTTTGGCTATAATTTTTTGTCCCACATCAGCATGTGCCAATATTGGCTTGATCGATTACCTAAACCTGACCTTGAAATGAATTGAATGTCAGCATTACCTATCTCTAGATTTTCGGAAATCATTGCATAAGCACCAACCCGCCCCCTTATGAAATATTTATTTTTGTTTATACATGTGATTTGTATTTTACATGTTAAGTGACGGCAAATGGGATTTTTGCTTTTTATAAACTAAATCCAAAAGACATTTGTATTATTGGAGAAAGAAATGTACACTTCAAACTCATAAATTAGCACCTCTTTAAAATTAATAATATTTAATCTAATGATAGTTTTGGAATATTCATTTTTAAATATTCATTTCTCGTAATTTCATATCTTTCATTTTATTTCGATCCATCAATTTTTATTTCATTTTTTTAACGATTCATTTCAGATTTCTTTTTCATTTAAATTGATTTCGCATCGATATATTGATTTCATTTCGATTATTTCTTGCTTTTTATTTCTTTCATGTCATTTTAATTTATTTCTGCTCCTTTAATTCCGATTAATTTTGTTTCATTTCATCTAGCATTTTATTCAATTAATTTCATAGAAAAAAGACATCAACCACTAGGCTTGGGTCGCCTGAGGACCATGTCATCTCTCTGTGGATAGGAAAGGTTTTTATATAAAAGTATATTGTAAATAAATGAAATGAAAAAACATATAGAGATCGCAGTGAAATAATGGAACAACGTCTGGACCATTTAGGATCCAGAGATCACATGACGGTCTACCATGTGACACAGATGTTTATATTTTACGCTATGTGCGGCGTGAGATCGAGGTTTGCCATCGATGCACACTGAGCCGCGAAGAAGTGATTTTCACTAGGCCTAGGACCCTAGTTGAGAAGAAATATGGAAAAACACTTTTCATTAATCATCACTCTTGTGATTTTATGTATTTTTACTTCTCCTGGAAGCTGTCAAAATAAGCCACCGAACATCGTGCTTATATTGACAGACGACCAAGATGTTACGATGGATGCTATGGTAAGCAATCAAAAGACCCTCTCATTCTCTATTCTGGTGGTGGGTGGTGTAGGCCTAGTTGTTTAGTTAAGGCCTGGTTAGGCCTACGGCCAAAGTTGTTTGGACTGGCCATACTGGTTGGACACACTGACCCTCTTGTTGCTGGGCCTAAAGCAGGCCGTTCACTGTAACGTCATTCGGGGCTTGGCAAGGACAAATAATAATAATAATAATAATAAAATATAATAATAATATAATTTTTTTTAAATTAATTATAGCGCAAGTTATAAAACAATTTTTAAAATTAAATGCGCTTATGACTGAAAGTTATGATGATTCCTTAAAAGTAATGTTTTTTTTGTTAGCTTTGAAAGTGGATATTGTCGAAGATTGTTTAAGATGTTACGGTAGAGAGTTCCAGAGAGTATTGGATGCAGATGTGAAAAATCTGTTGCCAATAGTTTTGAAGTCGTTTCGGGGAATAGATAAAAGAAAGACATTGTTGAGAGGATAAAGGGACTGAGAAGGGGTATATTTGGGAGAGAGGTCATGAAGGTAGGAAGGTTGTGCAAAGATTAGGGTTTTTAAAGTCAGGAAGAGAATTTTGTGCCTAATTCAGTCATTGATTTTAAGCCAATCAAGATTACCTATAATGCGTGTGATGTGTGAGCATTTGTTAGTGAAAGTTATATTATACTTGCAACAGTATTTTGTAGTTGTTAAAGACAATTCATGGAATTTTTAGGAAGGCCAAGCAAGAGTGAATTACAATAGTCTAAGCAATATGTTATGACGGATTGTATAATTATCTGGGTAATGTAGCTCGACAGATATTTTCTAATAAGTGCAGTATTACTAAGGTAGAATTTGACAGATAAGTACCGATATGTGGTTTAGACATGCTGAGGTTTTAATCAATAACAGATTTTTTTACATTCAAAGATGGATAAATAATGGTGTTAATATTGAAGAGATATTGATATTAGAGTGAATGTTATTTGAACCAAAAATGATAAATTTTGATTTGTCACCATTTTAACGGAGCATGTTGTTATGGATAACCAGGAATGAATTTCAGAATGCAGTTTTCAAGGTTTGGTTTTACAGAGATCGATCAGAGTTGATGTACTGTATAATTGGATGTCGGTAGCATAAAGATGGTAATATAAATTATGTTGTTTTATGATGTCAGAGATACTGTAGGAGAGAGATAGAGGGATAGTATCAACAAGATAGTGACCTAAAATGCAAGACTTGTTTGATTTAATTCCTGACTTGTTTCCTGTTTATTTAAGACTTGCCACAGGTTGTTAGAAATGCACTACATAACATATGCATTATTTTTCACGTTGGTCTAAAAATGGTGGGATAACTTTTAGAATATAGACTTCCATTACAGCTAGCAGAATTGAGTTCAGATTCCTTCTGGGGCATGCATTGTATAGGAAAGTACCCTACCTTAAATGATCCAATAAGTATCTCAAATGAGTACCAATATAGTATGTGCTTAAACATGGTTTCAAATAATGTTCTATTTTAAATAAAAATGTCAGCATTTATTCGGTAGTACATACACAATGCAATGTGTTTGATGCTTCATATCATTGGGATACTACAGTATTTAATACTGATTACTCATATTATAAATAATAATACTAATGTTGCAACAAGTCTAATAGCCCTAAGTAACATACAATTTGTAATTTTTGGAATACAATAATTTGCTATATGTTCTACTTTTGATGAAGTGCCAGTCTCGAATGCGGCGCTGCTGAGTAGGGGCCACAGTAAATTTTCCTCCAAAGATTTTATAGGCATGGTTTTTTAAAACATTGTTATTTATGGTGATAATGATAAAGAATAAAAACATTATTGATATCATTAATTATATTCAGTTTTCTTGCTGTTTGGATGTATAAATAACAGTAATGGATTGGTTGGTACAGTACAGTTCTTTGGATATTCTGTCTGGTGTATCATTCGATAATCATCATTATCATCATCTTCTTCACCATCATTCATCATTATCATTGTCATCAAATCATCACCACACCATCATGTCTATTATACAGGATGTTGTGAAAAGGATTGCTACTTACTGATTATAATTCAGTAGCTGGCAATACTTTTACCTTGTGCCTAAACAATTAAAAAAATAAAATAATGTATTTAGTACATTCTCGCTAAGTATAAAATGAAAATTTCCGAGAACCTGGGAACTACTACTAGGGGGGACATCCAGCCTAGGCATTTCCTCTACTTAGTTACCAGTGTTTATGTGCTGTGACCGGTGGACGACCTTGTTGTATGAGTTACCCTAGGCTAGTCTTTGAAAAGAAAATGGCAAAAAAAAAAAAAAAAAAATAGGGGCGCATAAAACCTGCAGTGTTTTTGGTTGTAAAGGTACTCAAAAGAATATATGTGTGTGTGAGAAAAAGAAATTTTGGAACAACAAGTTGCTCTGGTTGTACTGTATATCCCCCAGTGAAAAGTTGCGAGACTTTGGCGGCGCTATTTCAAACAAACCCGATAAAATGGTGTATACTATACACTGATACCTGTCATTTTACTGGATGAATGTAATGTGATTTTGTAATATACATGCATTAACATGGTTGCCTTTTACATTGGGTACACTTTAGTTCATAACATTGATTTTGATGTTCAACATGTTTCCTTACTTAGACACCTATGGAGAAAACGTTAAAGCTTATTGGAGATAATGGTGTAACATTTTCAAACATGGTAAGTTAGTATTCAATGAAAAATTCATTCAACATCTGCTGTGCTGTTTGTAAATTTTTCATGTCCATGCCATCTCTACACAGTGACTGCGACAGGATTTTCCCCATGGGTGATTAAACTGTTCTGGAGCCCACTTGTTGCCATAAAATCCCTGGGTAAATTTAGTTGTATGTCCCAAAATGTTTTAGAAATATCACTTTTATTGGATACCAGCCAATTATAAGTGTCTATGCAAACAATAATGAAACTTTTTATCATTTAAATGCACCTTTTTATTGATGTAAAAAATATTTTCTCATCATAATTTTTAAATGAAAAATAAAAAAAAATTCAAAAGTGAATTAGTGGTAGTAGAATTGTCAGTTACATGGAGAGAGTGAGATGACGTCCCTGCTCTATACTACTGAGTTGCATTTATATCAGATCCGAAAAATGTTCGGATGCGCTGAACCCCAGCATCTCTATTTTTACACACTGATTTGATTTTTTGATTTGGCTTTCCGAAAATTTGTATTCAGTGTCAATACACCTTTAAACTGCCTCTGTTTCATTAATGAGATGATAAATACACAAGTTGATATTTTATATTTTTAAAAGTTTACCAGTAGCCCATTATGCTGCCCTAGTCGTTCCAGTATACTCACAGGTAAGTATGTACACAACCACGGGAGTGTGAACAACAGCCTGGAGGGCAACTGCAGCAGTAAGTCTTGGCAGCAGGGACCAGAGAAGAGCACTTTTGCCACATACTTAAAATCTCAAGGATATGTCACATTTATGGCTGGTAAATATCTTAACAGAGTGAGTATTCCTACAAATGTTTATTACAATTGATATTTTGCGACATACACATCCAGCCACCTTTTGGACAGCCAACAATTATTTAGGACAGCCACCGTTACCAGGACGGTTTGGCCGACTTAGCTCGGCCTAGCCTAGTTGGGCCAGGTCTACCTTTAGCAAATTCTTTATATTCTTTGAATCTATCAAATGTTGCATTAGACTAAGGCATATTTATGTTTAATAAATAAACTTTATTGATTGAATTTACATTGTTTTCATACCGATATTCGGTGGGGTTTCCAAAAAGATAAGGCTAAACCATTTTCTACGCGGTGAAAATTTCACTTGCAGCACAGGTATGTCGTGTTAAAAACATATTCATACCCTGCTAGAAAATGGACGTTTCTAAGTTGCCCACAACGCATGCATGTAGCTCTGCAAGTACAGTGATTTGGTTCCCCAAGATATGGTTCTTGTTCTTAACTCCATGGTAACTCCCCAGCCTATTTCGTTTTTCTGGTTAAACCTCTAATTGAGATCAACAATTGTTATTACTTTTATCAGTCATTTTTGTTGCTACCTATAATTTATCTTCTGTGTTGCTGTCCGTAAAATGTGTATTAGTGTACGTCACTGATATAAACATGTCTGTTTTAGGCTTAGTTGGTGACTTTTGACTTTTTCAGAAATTATTTTTAACCTTTTATTTATGTTTTATCATCAAATTGACCACTTTGTGTTGTTTTCAGTATGGCGAGCCTGCTGCCGGCGGTGTGGAACACATTCCTCCCGGTTGGGACTGGTGGATTGGTCTTGTAAGTTCACAGCATTTTTCAAGGCAATATTTCCCATTGAATCAATAGGGGAGAAGGAGGTGCAAAGTTGGGAAAAAAATTACTGGCATAGTCTAAATTTAAACTTTCATGTTAGTCGGTCACGTATGATAGTATCACACATAATTATAATAAATTATTCAATTAAAGGCCCGTGAGAAGATATGCTATCTTAATATTAATTGATACATTAAAACATTTAAAAATTGTACTAGCTAATATGACAGTACTAATATTTAACATTTATTGTTTTCATATATTTTATTTTATGTATTTCATAATTTTTTTAATGATATTGTTTAATTTTTTAAGAATACATATACATCTCTCTTAGGGGTTAAAATGTTACTGCAACATTACATGACAAATTATATACCAATTTTATGTGTGTTAAATCTCACAGATATTTCCATTCTCCAATCTATTATAATGCTATAATTTGCCATCTCACTTACTACAATGGTTTATTCACTCTCCTGTTCTGTATGACTGTATTAGAGCACATTTCCATAATACCGTACATTTTGTCGGGGATGGATTAAGAAAGTGCATCGTGCAATTAGAGTGTCAGTATCAAACCAGTCAGAAGGTTAATGCGGAATTTTGACTTCTGACTTTATTATTTATTGAATATTTTATTGCCAATCACTTCTTTAGGGAATGATAATGGCGATCTATGAATATTGATGTTTCTCAGTACATTTTTAATTTGGTAAAATGTTTTAGAAATATCTTTATTTTATTTTTATAATTTGTTAATGTTAATAAATTTATTGAGAACTGAATTAATTTTGTTCGTAATTTGATTGCTCAAAACATGTAATTATGATTCATGATTCTTTTTTTAATGAAAATTACATTAAATTATGAATATAGATATAATATTGTAATTTTTATTGTTACTGTTGAACTTGCCTAAGTCAAATCCAAAATGCCATTGAAAAATTGTTCGACTTCTATAAAATTTGACTTATAGATTGTTAATTAATGGAAAACACTAAAATTTGGCATGTAAGATAAGTTCGACTTGGAAATTGTTCGACTTAGAAATTATTCGAGTTAAGCAAGTTTAACTGTATTATTATTTCATAATTTTAAAAAATACAAATCAGTCACACAAAACAATTGTGCTTCCAACAATGAAAATTATCTTTATAAAATTCCTGCAGCACCAAAAGTATATAGCCCAATTTAGTGGTTACCTACAGCCTGAAAAAATGTTTATCCCCAAAAATGCCTCTAGGGTGATGTGCAGTCATGCACTTTTTCAAGCCCTGATAAAATACTTATTTTTACCAGATTGAATTCTAATAGGGTTTGATTATGTGATGTTTGGTTGATCGTGCTGTCAATGATTTATTATGACCTTTTGTGTACTTAAGATTTAATGCTTTCTCTGTGAAGCATGTTGAGTCATTTTTGCCGACTGTATTACAGTATACAGTAAGAGAGGCTTTATAGTTATTATTAGTATTATATTATATTACACTTTGGACAGTTGGTCTTCTATTTGTGTTCCTACTGTAATATCAGCGACAATTTAAATAATAATATTTACAGCTGAAAACTAAAATTTACTGTTACTATTATGAGTGTTAATTAATATTTATTTTATTTAATTATTATTATTTTTATTATTATAGTTATTATGGGTGGTTTTCATTGTTATAGTTTTTAATGTCTGTTTAATATTATTTTCATTGTTTTTACAGGCCTTATAATCTAATGTTTAATGCAACACTCGTGTCTTTTTTAAACATTACATGCTTATACTGTAACTGACAGTTTCAAGAAATAAATGCATCATTCAGTTGCATTATAACCAGTTCAGGATGTTTATATTTCATCATTCATTAAGAATAAATAGGCTCTTATATTAAAAATTAAGTCATCATAATACATCTATTTGTTTATAAATGATATTGATTTTTTTGATTGTCGGTATGTACCACATAGTTTGAACTTTGACGTTGCTTTGACAGGTGAAGAATTCTGTGTATTACAATTATACTCTTTCGGTGAATGGAACTGCAGAGGCGCATCATGATGACTACGAAAAAGACTACTTGACAGATGTAATTGTAAGTACTCATAAATTCTGAATTCTTGTTATTCTATAAATGGTTACCAAGCAATGCTCATAAGAGAAATTTTTGAAACGATTTCAGGTGAATTGTTTTCCAAATTTAAAATATGTATAGTCTAAAATCTGATAAAATTTTAATAAAGTGATTTGTTATTGGAAATTTGGTGTGTAGTGCTTAAATTACATGATTCAAAGTCAGTTTTAATATTCATCCCACTTGGGACAGAACCTTATAATCTAAAGTAGGCTGCTGTAGATTCCATAGGAATATAATACATTAAGAATGATTATAAAATCTTATAACATCATCAAAACAGTCTTTTGCTATATAATACATTACATTTTTCTCCCAAAATTTACAATAAAAGAAAACAATATACTGTAATGATCTCCACAAGTTACGGATAAGCCATGCAACTGCACAGACTAGAAATGACTGGAGGAAAGCTACCATGGTGAACAGTCCAACCCATGCTAGCATGGAATGATGATGATGATGAATAAAAAGTTTATATTCTTTAATTAATAATACAAACTGTGGATGAAATACAAAGATTATTTATTAAATTGCTGTTATATAATTATTATTTAATAAATAAATAATTGTTCTTTTCTGATACTGATTGATTTACCAAATGTAAGATGCATTCACTTGATTTTTTTCAATAAACATCATGCTTAATTTTCCAGAAAAATCGTTCTTTAGAGTTCTTAGATAAGCGAGATTCTAGCAAACCATTCTTCCTGATGGCTTCAACACCAGCCTGCCATTCGCCTTTTGACTCCGCACCCCAATATGAGGAGGAATTTAAAGATAAAAATGCACCCAGAGGTCCTAGCTTCAACAAGCATGGAGGCGTAAGTATACAAACATACATATATCCTTAAACTTTACCAACTTCTGCCTAACCGGGCACATTCTGTGTGGCTGATGATCATGGGCACAATTTTATGGAGACTGCATTGCGTGGAGAGTAGAAACTAACTTTGTGCAGAATAGAATATTCTACTAAGTACTTCAAGGTTTCTATAGACTCACTGGACGTAAGATGAGACTGATTCATGAGTAGAGCACAAAAGATCTGCTTAGTCTGCATCAAGATGCAGCAGACGGCATCAAATTATAAATCATTCACACAGAATGGAGATGGATTCTTCAGTCAATGTTGGCCTACACAAGTGTGTGGTACTGAATTATCAGTTATAATGATTGTGAGGCCAAGCACCAACCAGGCACAGTGACCTTTAGATATCAGGGTCTATAGGTTCAGAATTTTGTAATCTATAGTTTATTGTCAACAGTCACACACCCCTTGCAAGTTGGTTTATATGGTCACAACATTCATAGTTAAATCTTAATTAAATGATTAATAATAATGGTAATGGTAAAATGGTAATGATGATTAATAAATAGTACCTTGAATTTTTTTATTATTAAATTTGGCATGGTAATTATTTACCTACCTTTTAATGAGATGAATCACATTTTATGTTTTGACGCTTCTATGTGTTTTTGTATTTCATAATTTCCCGTCAGGACAAACATTGGCTGATACGAAGAGCTAAGAATCCGATGTCAAATGTATCGTTACAGTATGTAGATTCAACATTCAAAAAGCGGTGATTACATTTTTTATTTTTATCATTCTTGTTTTTAAATATCTTCCTCTGTCTTAAAATGAAAAAAAAAACCTTTGAAAACCTAATCCTGGTTACCTGCATACCCCACTGTAACCTAATTACTCATCATACTCAGGTAGGGGAATCACTACTAGGTTCCTAATAGCCCACATAACCATTTCTAGCTCTAATTGACCTAATTAAAACTTTACAGTGACAGTGTGTAGTGGCAATGCTTTTTATTGCTGCCCCTTGATCATGTGACAGATACCCTATATAAATTCCATTATAAGTAGCATCTCTGATCTTCTGCGTTCAATGACAACATTTGTAACTGATGCTTGAGGGATGCACCTAGTAAAAATGCACAGTTTAAATTTATGTACTCAAACTTAGGATGTTGGTATTCAATATTTAGTTAAATCCTGCGGCCTTAGTCTTTTCTCAGAGTGCAGATGGTTAAACCTTAGCTGGTGGAATGTAGAAGTCTGAAGGAAACAATATGCAGGTCTCCCTCTAATTAAAGAACCTTCCAATTTAAGATCACCTCCAATTAAAGACCACTCTTCTGTAGTACAAAATTAATGAATGTTTTTATTTTTATTATTCTAATTAGGGACCAAAGCTGCTAATGGAAACCCATTGGACGGAGACATGTATTTTATAATTATGTACTCTATTTTCCTCTTTACAGGTGGAGGACACTTCTATCAGTTGACGATATGGTTGAAGCTATTGTGAATTCGCTAACTGAAAAGAAACTTATAGATAATACTTTTATCATATACACTTCTGACAATGGATTTCATTTAGGTGAGTTTTTAAAATACTAGTAAATACAAATTTAGGCCCAAAATGTTGTGTGTTGACCAAAACTAATGGACCAAAAACTTAGAAAGCCAATGGTTAGTTGGTTTTTTTTTGGGGGGGGGGGAAGTATTTTTTTTTCTTACTATAGAAAAGTAAACTATATGTGTGATGCCACTTTTTAAGCCTTAATTATTAAATTTGATACCTTAGAAATAGACTTTAATCCTATAGTTTAGGGATATTTGGCCCTTTCCCATGCTTGATTCAGTTTGAGAAGGAGACATTCCCATTTTAACATTCAACCATTTGCAGAACTCAGCTTAATAATAATAATAATAAATTAATTAATATAATAAATTGTAGAATTTGATCAGTTTTAAGGAGGGTCTTGAATGCATCAGTATCAGAAGTTGATCAAAGTTTCGGTGGAAGAGAGTTCCGTAATTTTGGAGCGACAAAAGAAAAATATGGTCGCCAGTATGGACATGTAACATTTTAAGAACAGATAACCTAAAAGAGTTTGACTGTCTCTTTTTTCCAAACAAATACCCAGTAGTTACGTTTGTTTTGAAACCTTTATACATGTAGCATATCATTAAAGGGGAGCTGAACAAGATAAAACATTAAAACGATTACCATTACAGTATTTATGTTGCATAGTATAGCAGTTGAAGTTTTTTTTAATTGACTGAGTCTTTAAAAATTATTGCAGGACAATTTTCATTGCCTAATGATAAAAGACAGCTGTATGAATTTGATGTGCGTATTCCATTGTTAATACGTGGCCCAGGCGTGCCGAAGAAGAAGGTTATTACCAACTCAGTTATGAACATCGATATTATGCCAACTATAGTACACCTGTCGGGATTAACACCGCCCTCAGACATAGACGGTGCATCTTTACTTCCATTGTTGGTGAGTAAGATGTGTTTGTTGTTTGTTTAATTATGAAAAAAATTATAGGTTTTTGCATAAAGATTATTAAAATACAATCAATAGGCTAAACCCTCAAGTACATTATCAGTTCTAAAGCAAAGATGAGGGTAATGAAGTTGAAATGCAATGATAAAAAGCTAAAAAGCAATCGTTCATATAGAAAATAAAAGAAATTAAAAAGAAGTTTTCAAACTAGCGCAATTCGCTAATGATTTATCGTGTATACAATGAAAATTAATTTCACAAATCTAATCACATGACCTCATATTCATAGGAAAACAATAAAATCATTTTTACTACTATGATTTTATCATTTTTCCATGAATATGACATCATTTGATATGTCTAAATATTTTGTTATCGTATACACGATAAATCGTTATTGAATTGTGCTAGTGTGCAAACATCTCATATTTCTATTTATTTTCTATAGGAACAATTGTTTTTAGCTTTGTATCGTTGATCGTTATCGTCATAGTGTAATCAGGCCTTTAGCATTATTTATTACTCCCCTAGGAAGCTGGGTATTCTTTATATTTGGAATGGGATTTTAACATGGGTTTTCATCATTTCTTTACATTGTAGATATTTTTTTACAGATTATTAAAATTCATGTTTTTTTTTTTAGGAAAATGCATTTTTAAAACACATCAGCCAGAAAAATTATGAAAGTAGACAAAATTAAAGTTCGACATAAAATTCTATTAGCATTGCATCCGTTTAATCTTCTATAAATAGGTGAAATCACAAGCTTTGTATGTGATTCTGTGGAACATATTATATTGTTTTATGTTATTCTTAAAGTTCCCGAAGAATGATACAGTAAAGTCGACTGGATGGAGGGAGGAATTTTTAGTTGAACATCAAGGCGAGTGGCTTCTGAAGGGAACACCAGGCTGTAAAAATGTTGACTATCTCTGTGTAAGTAAACAACAAAGATTTTATAATTACAAGATAATGCTCTCCTCGATTTTATGCTTAACAAATAGAAGCGCTGATGTTCAGTAAAGAGAAGCAAGTAATCACTTTTGAGGGAGGGCAGTCTAGTTATTACAGTGGTTATTATAGAATTTCCATGCAGATGCACTGTCTTCAGTTAACGATCCCTGATGTCAAAGTTGAAAAATAATCATTTTTGCAAGAGGACACCCTACACTGTGTTATTATAGAATTTGCATGCAGAAATTGTGGAGAATGCTATCTTGTAATTATAAGATCTTTGGTAAACGAAAAGAGTATAGGGGAAGAACACCTACTCAGTTGGTTTTTCTATACCACAAAATGTTGAATGCCCACTTGTTTTCTCAAGAGGGTTAATGTGATATTCTAATATTTTTAATGGGGGCCTGATAAACAGAGTAGTTTGGAACCTGACTTTAAAAACATGGCATCATTTTTCACAAGTTCAATATGTATATTAATACTAGTCAGAAATGCTTTGTCTTCAGATGATGTCCTGTGCGTACCCCTAATGTTCCATGGGTACATGTGTCCCATTAATTTTTGTTCTCCATACATATCGACTTGCGAAAATATAAGCGTGCATCAGCCTCCTCATGCCCTTCCCCTGTGTCCCTCACTAGAAATTATATTTACTAATCGTTGTTGGCGAGTCAAATGGCCGAACAGTTAAAGCAGTGGCGCTGCATCCTACAGCAATGTTTTCCATGCTGTTTTGTACGTCACGCTCACTTATGGTTCTGGAGGTGCTTCTTTTTGGATAAGGTGAAGTCTGTTTCGATAAAGACTATAAACCATAGGCCCTGTGTACATAATTTGCTCATCTGCACTACAGTATAAGAAATCAGTACATTATTTGAGATGAGTAAGGGTTACCTCGGTGTACTGTCCCATACAGTCATTGTTGTGTACAGACGGGAGTAACTGGTGCCTGGAGAATAAAGTTACTGTATGTCCACGCTGTAAGCACTCTGATCTTCATGAAATAGCGCTATACTTTAATGAATGTATGTATTGTTATAAGAAAAATGTGTATCACAAGGGCACAATTCAGTTGATGGATCCCTTCACAATGTTGAAGTAGTCAACTAAATATTATTATTTAACGGTTAATGATAATAATAATAATAATATTAATGATGATATATCACTTCCATATTGGGCAAATCACAGGTACGTTATAGTGTGCACAGATATTAATACGGTTGAGCAATATTTTTATCTTGATAGAACTGTTATCCTGATTGTGTTTGCGAGGACTCCATTAACAACACATATTCCTGTATATGGTCACTACAACCAAAGCAAAAAACAGTTTATTGTGAATTTTTGGATGATGAGGTATTTTAATGTGTGTGTCTTGGGAATGTTACTAATTCTTATTTTCTTGTTTTCCTTTGTATAGACTTGTGTACCAGATTGTGTATGTGAGGATGGGCGAAATCACACATACTCTTGCTTGCGAACACTAACCACTGGCAATGATACAATGTACTGCGAATTTTCTGATGATGAGGTATATTGAAATGCTCATCGTCAGTTGTATTCAAATAATATACTGCCAACTATACACCATTTTCACTAAATTTGAAATTAAAATTTCTGGGAACGTGGCAACTACCAATGGGGGACTTCCAGAGGCCTAGGCTTTCAATCTACGTACTAGTCTTAAACTGTACTGTGACCGATGAACGACCTTCTTGTTGTAGTGAGTTATCCTATGCCTAGTCTAAGGCTAGTCTTTGAAAACAAAATGGCAAAAATAAATATAAAAACAGGTGCATAAAACCTGCAGTGTTTTAGGTTTTCGAAGTACTCAAAAGAAGATATTTGTCTTGAAAAACAGAGTTTACTCAGGCTAGGCTGCTGGAAGTCCCCCAGTGAAAAGTTGCGAGATGTTGGTGGCGCTCTTTCAAAATAGGCCCGAACAAATGGTGTATATGAAATATATGCTTGAAAATTAAAAACAAATTTGCTTCATTTCCATAAATTTCATCTAAATAAACTAATACTCATCATATTTAATGGCGTTTTCACCCAACTGTCAATTTAGTTTTGCCATACACTAGGCTGCTTGTTGGTGCCATGGTCATTATTAAGTCTTGCATAATGATATGCTCCAGTCATTTTGAAGAAATGTAACACATGAAGAGATAAATTCTAGCCTTGTGGGTAATGTTTTCTACATTATATATAACTTATAAAACGGTGAAGATGAGGAATCTGTGAGTGCAAAATAATTTTCCCCAATATATACGTGATAATTTGTGTGAGCCTTCTAATGTTTATAGATTCGTTGATTAATCTTTTTAGCCATACTTTTTTTTTGTGCAGTATATAAATATCTACCCAGTCTTGTGATCTATTAAAGCTGATTTCTGTAATTCACTCGGTGCTTTGCAATGGGTCTACCATTACTACTACTACTATTACTACTTCTGCTACTGCTACTAATAATACTATTAATACTGCTATAGGCTTTACTAATACAGTAATACTACTGTTATCACTACCATACTACTATTATATTACCCATACTATCTTCACTACTGCATTACAGCAATCCGTGCTACCACCACATAACTGCTTAGAATTGATTAAATTAACCATCATTTACATTTATCAGTAATCTGTTTCATCTGAAGTTTGACCAAGAGCTTTTCTCAACCATTCTTGTTTCATTTTTTATGCCCCAGAATTTTATCGAGTTTTATGATCTTGTGAAGGATCCGCACCAACTTGCCAACACTGCTAAGACTGTGAGCCAGAAAATTTTATCGGAACAAAACCAAAAACTTATTGCATTGAGTATCTGCAAAGGGCCGTCCTGTCGGAAGATTCATCCTATTGGATAATCATCATATTTTATTCCGTAATAATCCAATTAGATGCCAATTGTATTCTATCTATTATGGGAATTCGCTTACATTAAACTGCTGCATAAGTAACGATTTAGGGCAGTGTACATTTTGATTCACATCTACTAACTGTATGGTAACTGTATGCACATGTTAGTCCACTACTACAGTGCCCGCGGACAAGATTTTATAAAGAAAACGTTGCTTGTTCAGGCATTGAATGCTTCAGCCCCCCCCCCCCACAATGCCTGCAGGGACTTAATATTCTGTACTGTTAAAAGGACACATAGCATACGGTATGTATGGTCTGTTCATGTGCAGTTAGTAGAAACTCCATCCCTAATAGGTAACCCAATCCGATTCAGTCCATGACAGGCTGTGGGCGTAACAAGCAGCCTTCATTGCCTACATTGCTGATAGGTATCGTATATTCAGAGGAGAATCTTTTACCAAGAAAACATTTCATAATGCCACCCATATTTATGGGGATGGAGGAGGGTAAACAACCATTTTTTAAGCCTAGTATTTTTTAAAAGAATAGAAATATTCTAGTTAGAAATGATTTTTTAAAATTTAATCCAACAGTCAGCTGATCTGTGTCATGCTCACAAAGGTGGCAAATGTTTGTCAATGAATGGAATTAATATGTATAATTATGTTTGGATATGTATGACTATGTTTGAATATGTATGAATATGTTTAAACAGGGCCGTAGCCACCGCTTTTGACAGACCACAAGTTAATTGATTAGGTTTTGAATAGGAAAAGAGGCTAAATTCCACCTGTATGTTTAGACTCAACCTACTCCCTCTTGACATCACTCAGGAACCATGGGTGAAATGTTAATAATAGTTTACATTATTTTCTTCTCTTATAAGTTTTATAATGATTGATTTTAAAAATGGGATGCATTTTTTCTTCAGTTGAAATTCAGTGTTAGGACTTCGCTTTTATCCAAATCAAGTAGGTAAAACTACCCACAGTGAGCTTTTGCAGAACATCATGCTAAAGGTTCCCTTATACACTTGACTAGTACTTATTGTTTTGCTTCACCATAGCCCTGATGGAAGTTAAAAATATATTTTTATAAAAAAAAGTTTTTTAACTATACTACTACAGAACATCATTAAAATTTATCTATACAATATAATAATAGCAAATTTTTCCTGAGGCCTTTGGCCCTTGGTGGCCCCCTGGCCCCCAGCCTCAGTGCTTGCTTTGCTGGCAACCAGATTACTTCAATTCTCGTGGCTACGGCCCTGTTAAATATGTGTTGGTAAGTAATCATTTTCATTGTATTTGTACTGTTTATAAACGTTTTTTTGTATTGGCACTTTGTTCTGAACAATAATATTCTTAGTAATGTGCCTGTGTTTTCAAATAAGGAATTTTGCTTTTTATGTTACATTGTGGAAATTGGGTATATAATTTTATAATTTGAAATTATCTTTGCATTCATCTTATGAATATTACATTTTAATAAATTAATATGAATATTTAAATAATGGTATTCAATCATTATTGTTTTAAATTTGACTAATGTTTAAGTGTATTCATTAATGAGAAAACAGTTGTCACTCTAAAAATATAGTAAAGATTAACAGCATGAACAGTAACGGTTTACGGAACAATGTAGTAAACAGGGGAGGATTTGGGGGGGGGGCGGCCCACCCCGGCCCCCCTCCCCTTTTTTTGGGAGTTAAAAAAAAGAAAAAAAGAAAGAAAAAGAAAAAAAATGATAGCCCAGAATGCCTCAAATGTTATGTTCGGGCTTCTAGAACACAAAAATTTCGCGGACCCCCTAGGGCGGTGTTGCCTCGATCGGCCCCCTTTCGCCCCCCCCCCCTTTTGGACATTTCTGGATTCCCCCTGGTAAATGATGTGATTGTTCAAATGAAATGAGATTTAGAAAATGTTCAATGAGATGAAATTGGATTCTATACTTTTCTGGTGAGATACAATAAGATAATTCAATTCAGTTCAAATTTTAATTTTCAATTCAATTCAATTCAAATGTTCTTGCAACATCAGCCATAGAACATACAATATATACAATGGCTAATTTATAACAATGCAATTAGGGCCTACATTAAAAGAGCGGTTTTAATGGCAGAAGGAGAGGATGTAGCGGGATCGAGAGTGAGGTCGTATGATAGGCTCACAGCAAAGGGAAAAAAAAAGATTGAGCATTGAAGGGCAGGAAAGCAGAATGTCGGGAATTACGTAATGTGATGGAGGACGATCATCGAGGTGGAAGAAATGAATGTGAGGGATGAAAGTATAATATTTGTGGCACGAGTCCAATGGAAGAATGCCGAAGGAAGTGAGTATAGTTAGAAGAAGAAACAGAGGGATCAATGATTTTGGCAAGGAGCGTTTCAATACGTTAAAAAAAGTATTTGTCACATTTATGAAAAAGGCCATAAACAGAGCAAGATTATTCAAGAGCAGACTGAATGTGGGATTTGTAGAGGATAACAATGGTTTCAGAGTTAAGAGAGTGTTGAAGGTATTTTAGGATGACAGTTTTCTAAGAGCGGATTTATAGGAAAGTAAAATTTAGGCATGACATTTAAGATCATAACACACGAATGTCAGAAGACTTACTTCCGTCAGGGTCTTTCTGGTGGTGAATTGGGCAGAATTCCGGGAGACAATCAGTTTTTCGGAAAGAGTGTACTGCATTCTTTAACATGCACACATGGGACCGAAAGCTTAAACGACTCATCCAAATGATGGGGGGCTAGTTAATCAGCTGAAACACAAAAGCTGGAACCGGGGAATAAATGTCAACGGATAAGCACGCTCACATTGGCAGCCACAAGTTTAACCACGTGAGCTAATCTGCTTTCTCAGACGAAGGGCTCAATCAGCCTCAAGGTGTAGGCCACAGATGGACAAAGTGAAAATCTGGAAAACTCATGCAATTTAATTAAAAGATTGATCTAATCATGGATAAAATATATACATGGGTGTTTGTTGCACACCGGAAAGGTAGGCCTGTGTCGGGGAAATGCAAAGAATAGGGACGATATTAATCATATGCGTATACAAATTGGCGAGAAATATTTTCTCATTTTGATTGGTTTAAAGAAAATAACTTAATTAATAGCAAGGTAGATATTTAAAAATTATAACTTATTTTTATTATCGTTATTAGGCCTATTGGTTTCTGTAGCTCTTTTGTAGCCTTTAAAACACGCTGCCACATAATAATGAAACTATTCCATGAGGAGGATTAGTCCGCTTGCCTGATTCTTAAATCTAAATTTTTTTTGTATAAAGTATTTTAATAAGTTATTTTTCAACTAAAAATATAACAAGGAAACAT